ATGTGAGTAATGTCACTGACAGAGTAGACCTAATCCTCCAAGTTCAGGTGAATACAAACTTCTTGTGAAATTTGACTCTTCCTTATCAATTTTAAACCCTATCCCCTCTCCATTGTGGGTAAAACCCTGGTCATCAGGTGCAAGGTACTGCTGGTGTACATGGTGCATGTCTGGTCCATTCCTAGAACCTGCGCCATTCCAGTCACCCAAGCCATCTTCTACTTCATCTGGAAGTCTAAGATGGACTGTGTCTGCAGGGACACTATGTACAAAGCTCTGGATAAGGAGGTGAAGAATATACCCAACGCCACTTGCATCCTGATCGTCACCTTTGTGTTTGGCTGCATCAAGCTATGCATATACCCTCAGGACGTAAACACCACCAAGTGTCACTGCATTCTGAGCTTCTACTGGTCCCCGGTGTTGCGAAGGATGGGACTGGGCTTGGAGCTGTGGAACGCTGCAAGTAGTTGGACTGTTCTGTATCACTTGTCCTTCATGGAGAAATTTGCAAAGAAAAACACCTTTCACCAAAAGACCATCAGGAAGTGGTCAGCATGTAGAGTCCTCGAGATCCTGTGAGAAAAGGAGAGGATGGATTCTGACGGGTGGTTCCCTGAGCAGATTGTCAAAGTCTTTTGCAGAATGCCTAATCACCAGAACTTTCCAAAAGCAAAATCAAGACATCGCTTGGCTGGTGGCAAGAAGGGCATTACCTTTGAGATCCTTCATGCACACCCGGTCAGTCTGCATCACTGCACGCTGCCTTTGGGGGAGGAGGTGTTGGGTAAAGACTGCCCCACATCTCCTGCTAGAATGTGTCTTTGCAAAGGATGTCTGGAGAGAAGTAGTTCTTTCTGTTGCGGTTCGTCCCAAGCAGCTCCGTGATGCAGGAATCGCACTCTATGTTCTGTTCCCCGGAAGGCACACAGTGACGAACATCGACTGCATCTGGAGGACCATCAACTCTGTGAAGGACGCTCTTTGGTCTGCCCGAAACATGATGGTTTTCCAGTGCAAGGAGTTGACATCAACCGAGTGTGGCACACAGGACTACATGCTGAGGGACGCACTAAAGCTTGGGGCAGCTGTTGCTAAGGTGCAGTGGGGAAAAACCATCGTCTAAGATATTTCAGCAAAAGTTCAATGGGAGTCCGTGCAACTATTGTACCCTCTTGGTGTCTCAAGTATATGTAAATAGTATCTTGCGTAAGTTAGAAATACCTTGGGTTTATTTGTTGGAACTGTTGGGAAAATCAGACTCCAATGTTCGTTTCTCCATAAGCAAAGACTGTACAAAACCAAACTGCTTTAGTGACAACGTATATAAAGATTTTTATGAATAAAGTATATTTTTGAAATTAAAATCATTTTTAAACCCTTCTCTGTCACAAGAATGTGGGCAGCATGTGCCTCATAGGTAAAGACAGATTTAAAATATTCGTTTAATACCCCAGCTACGCTTCTCGCCTCCATGTATGAATCCCCTTTATGGTCATTCATCATCCCAACTCCTCCTTTTAACATTCTTGTATGATTGATATAAAAGACTTTGGGATTTACCTTATTGTTAGTCTTTTCTCATAACCCTCTTTGCATCTTTTATTTACCTTTTCACCTCCCCTCTGAACCTTCTATATTCAGTTTGGTTTTATTTTCTTTTCTACCCGACACATGTTGTAAACACACATTATCTTCTTTAACTTACTTTCTCTCTACTTTGTCATCTAGGGAGCTTTGGAGTTGTTTGTCCTAGCATTCACTTTTGAGGGAATATACTTTCACTGTGTGCAAACCAGCTAGTTTTGAAAGAATTTCTGCATTGCATCTCGTAAACAGTATGCACTACTGCTACTGAGTGTCAGTGTTGGAAGGAATGCGTGTAGTGCCAATCAAATGGGCTGCTTTGTCCTGGGTAGTGTTAAGCTTCTTGAATGTTGTTGGATCTGCAGGCATCCAGGCAAGGTTATTTTTATTCATTTGTGGGACATGATGTTGCTGGCTGGCCAGCATTTATTGCTCGGCCCTAGTTGCCCTTGAGATGCGGGGAGTATTACGTTATATTCCTGAATTGTACCTTGTGGACAGTGGACAGGCTTTGTGAAGTTAGGGATGAATTACTTACAGCGAAATTTCCAACCTGTGACCTGCTGTTGTAGTCACCATATTTTTATAGATGATCCAGTTCAACGTCTGATCAATGGTAACCTCAGGATGTTGATAGGGGGTTTCAGTAATGGTAATGCCATTGAATTTCAAGGGGCAATGGTTAGATTCTCTCTTGTTGGAGATGGTCATTGTCTGGCATTTCTGTGGAGTGAAAGCTATTTATAATTTTTAACATCTTTCCTTTCCCTTTTCTTTCTTTTCTGGATGCATGTGTGACTGAGTGTGTGAGACAGACCATTGCCCTGGGTTTTGAAGGGATCAATAAACCCTTATTTAACCCTAGAGGATTTTCTGTGAGTCATTTTGAATTGGACTTCACAAACAGGATTTGGTGAAACACACCATCGTCTAAGAAAAAAGTAGGAAAATAGAATTAAAAATTACCCATAATACATACAGGAGTGGGGCAGTAAAAATACTTCAGTTCAACTGTACTGACGTCATGCATGCATAAATAACGAGCTAAGAAGTACATAATCACATGAGAAAATCCTAATCCATCCCACTGAGCAGATGTACTTCCTGGTTTTAGGCTTACTTATACATTTGATCTATAAAAAGCAAGTTTTCCCCAGTTTTGCTATCATGTACCACAACTTTTTAAGGATTTAGTCTTTCACAGGATTCGGGCATCACTGGACAGTTCAGCAGTTGACCTGAGTGGCTCTGGATAATTTCAAAGGTCAATTAAGAGTGAACTGCATTGTGGATCTAGAGTCACATGTAGGCCTTATCTCTCATTTAGATAGGAAAGGCACTAAGGTCCTTTCCTAAAGGACCTTAGTGAACTAGATTGTTCTTTTTTACAATAATGGGCATTATCCATGAGAGTATCTCATCTAGAAATCTAGAATTGAATTTAAATTACACTAATTGCCATTTTGAACCCATGTCCCAAAAACATTCGCCTATGTCTCTGGATTATTGCTCCAGTGACATTACTATGTCACCGTTACCACTGATAGCATGACTCTGCTTTTGTGTCAGGAGGGGCTAATATTTTGTACTGTTTTCAAATCCTTCTAGGACATTGCCTCATTCTATCCATGCAACCTCTCCCACTGCTACAAACATCCTGAAATTCTATCCTCTTGAGCCCAATATTAACCATTTGAGCTGGGTCACTGGTCTCTAGCACTGCAACTCCCTCCCTGAACATATCCCTCATTATTTATCTGAAAATTTCCTTGTAGTCTTATCAAAAATAATCCATTTTGTCAGATTTGGTGGACAATTAATTCAAATCTTCAACACAATTCATCTTTATTTTGATCAAATCAACTGACATAAGAAATCAAAAATTAAAATCACTGGAAGGAAATACAAAACAGTCTTCACATTTGGATCCTCAAATCCAATCCATATACTCCAAGGAGATATAATGTGCTTTCATTTTGAAAGAAATTTTCTAAGAACCAAACCTTGTTCTGCATTTTATGATAGACGACAATGCATTTGATTCTAAAACTCTAAAAATTATTCATTAAGAGTAATAATGACATCATCGTGCTCTCCCTTCCATAACATTTCGCCCTCAAAGTCTAACAGTCCGTGCTTCCTGGCCCTCATCAAAATCCCAACAACTTTATCTGAGACAGTAACATATCTGTCAAACAGATTTCCAAAGGTAACCCTGGTCTTCCCATCTGCTCCCAGTATCCCCATGGTCCTTATAATGAAGCACATCTCCTGCATTTCCTTGTACACATGTTCCTGAGCTCGCCGGCCTCTCTCTGCTGTCTTGCTGCCCTCCTTCGGCTGCCCGTAGCCCTCATCTCCCTTCTTCAATTGGAGGCCTTTGGCGTAATCATAGTCAAACTCATCGCTGAAAGGGTTTGTCTTTTGCCTCTCAATGTGATCCTCGGCCCATCTCAGCCAGGCCTTTTTCAGGTCTTCTATTGTGCGCACCTGGGCACTTGGAACTGATCTCTTCCTCTTCCCTCTGTCAACTGCATCATCCTTCTTATTAGACTCTTTCTCCTTCCTTTTCTCTTCTCCGCTGCTCCTGTCTTCGCTAATCACACTGCCTTTCTCTTCCTTCTCCCACTTCTCCCAAGTTTGTGATATCTCCAATGCCTTGTTGTGGCACAAACGCCTCCTTGTCGGTGATCTGTTGGCCAAAAACGGTTTTGGTGCCACATCTGGTTCTGTCTGATTGAAACGGTCCATCATGAAACTTACCAGTTCGTTACTCCCCGACTTGGATCTGTTGTTAACTGTCTTAGTGACTGGAATGGTTCTGATGCCCAGTTCTGTTCCTTGAGATCCACTCAGCTCCTTGCTAGTGTCCACAATTTTGCCAGGGCCGTTGCTTTTGGATTCACTTTGGAGCACCTTTGCAGGCCTTTCCTGCTTGGTGATCCAGCTTCTGTTCTCCTTGACAGAGTCATCATCTTTAAAACCTTCAGGTAGCCAGCCTTGAGGCTCTGATTTCTGTCTAAGTGAATGTTCATTTGCCCATTTCTGCCAGTTTTTGGCCAAACTGTTCACCAGAGAGACGCACCTGAACTTCTTGATGGCTTTACTGGCTGGTCTTGGAGACCTGGGCTCGGTGTTCATTGTGGCATGAGCAGCTCAGAGAGCGAGGAAGTGTGCAGTTCAGCCTTGTTGAGCTTTAACTCAGCACTGGATGAGGTTGATTTCAGCTGCTTTATATAGAATGCTGATTGGAAGGTATTTCTAAAGCATGACTGGTATTTCAGTTTCAGGACAAGCTCCTGGCCCAGTCTGAGCCATGGAAATGTACCCATCACAGATAGGCTTTCACTCTGAGGACTTGGCTGTGCTCCAGGCTTTGCAAAATTATGCCAAGCTGCCGTCTTACATTCTATATTGAAATGACAGGTGGACAGGCACCAGAATAGTGCAGTCTATCTGATCTAAATAATTCAAGTCCAGCAAAGTCTCTCTCAAGTTGAAAGCAATATTGACTGGGGCTAAACAATGCTGCAACAGTGGAAGGAAGAATGCAGGGCTAATATGGTATGGCAACCTTGTGGTTATATTACCAGACCAGCAATCTTGAGGCTTAAACGAATGATCCAGAGGATATGAGTCCATATGCTGTCAAGATTGTTTAAATGTTTAGAATCATTTATTTTCAATAACATGGAAATTAAAAACTGGGATTAGAAGAAGTATCTATGAGGTTGATGGATTGTCTTTTAAAAACTCATCTGGTTCATGAATGGATTTAGATCACTGTTTTTGCCCAATCTATATGTAACTACAGCCCGAATGAGTGTGATTGACAAGTAACTACTCCCCAAAGTGGTCTGTAAAACTTCAGAATTATGACGAACAATTGTGATAATTTGTTACATTTTTGTTGAGATAAATAAGTTAGCAGAGTCAGTTTATCAGAACTTAAAAGGATTGCAAAAGAACCATAGGCAAATGAGAGAAACATTTCAATGCTATAAGTGGTTTTGATTTGGATACACAGCCTGATGTGTTGCTGGCGACAGATTTATAGCCTTCAGAAGGGAACTGGACAATACACAAAGCAGGAACAATTGCTGTTGTATCAGGGAAAATGTGACACAGACTCAATGGGTAAATAGTCTCTTTCTGTGCTATACGGCTTCATGATTCTCATCAACAATGTGAATGAATATCGTAGTAGCCCATTTGGCTTCCAATGCACTTTCCCCTGTGTCTAAGAATTATATTTCAATCCACAAATACAGCAGGGAAGAACGTGAGCCATTGAATTTGAAACATTAATTTGGAGAGGTGCTATTGATCCCCTGGCTAATTGTTTTATGCAAGATGTGTTTTTAAAACTCCAACAAAAACAGAAATTGCTGGAAAAACACAGCAGGTCTGGCAGCATCTGTGGAAAGAAAGATGAGTTAATGTTTCTGATCCAGTGATCATTCTTCAAAACTGATTGTAGCTAGGAAAAGATTGGTATATATGCTAACGATGGAGTTAGAGGAGGTAGGGTGGGGTGGGGTGGGGTGGTGGTGGAGGGGGGCTGGTGTTGGTGGGGATGAGTAAGCAATAGGTAGAGATGAAACCCAGAGAGAGAGAAAAACAGAGACAACAAGGTGCAGGGCTGGATGAACACAGCAGGCCAAGCAGCATCATAGGAGCAGAGATGCTGACGTTTCGGGCCTAGACCCTTCATCAGAAAAGGGGGAGGGGAAGGGGGTTTTGAAATAAATAGGGAGAGAGTGGGAGGCGGATAGAAGAGGGATAGAGGAGAGGATAGGTGGAGAGGAAACAAACAGGTCGAAGAGGCGGGGATGGGGCCAGGAAAGGTGAGTGTAGGTAGGGAGTTAGGAAGGGGATAGGTCAGTCCAGGGAGGACGGACAGGTCAAGGGGGCGGGATGAGGTTGGTCAGTAGGAGATGGAGGTGCGGCTTGAGGTGGGAGGAGGGGATAGGTGGG